ACTAACAAAAAATTACGTCTAGACATTTACCAGCCACCATTCTTGCCTCGTTCGCCAAGAGGCTTGCCCGTCTTTCTCTTCATGCTCCTCCTGCGGCTATCATAATGGTAATCCCGTTTATTTACAATATCCTAAAACGACATCCATCCCTCATGGGAATGGTACATCGCATATCAGAAATAGATTCGATTGAAGCAATTGGTGAGTAAAGTCATCGAGAAATAATCCTAACTATATGAAGGCTAACTATGATGGAAAGATCCATACCTTCCTGATGAGCCGTCTCCGCTCTTGACCGATGCTATTTCTTCATCCCTTTGGGAAATTCAAAGTCATAGAGCCCATTATGCGCCGCCAGTTGCAACCATGGCTCGCATCTTCTCTGAGCCATTCACCAAACCATCATATGTCCAGGAGGACTTTTTGGATCATACGTATGGAACCGTTAGTTTGTACTGTTTTTTCATCGCCTCAAGGCTTAATTTTACTCTCAGATGTTTACATCAGAAACTAAGCGCAAGATAACCAAGGACCCTGCCTTACAGATGACCCTCGAAGGACCTTTGTTCGCTCGTTCAGAGGATCCGGATGTGAAGTGGGAGGATATCAGCGATCCATGTCAATTATGGGCATAATTCCTCATATCCATCCCGATTAAAAAAGACGAGCACCTATCTGGGCATCGCCCAAGCCGCTCGTCACCGGGTTCAATTTAATTGTAATTTTACAGCATTACTAAAGTTATCAATTAAATAATATAAATGGTTCTTGCCACCAATATCAACAAGAGCTTGAAGCTAGGATCAGGTTGGTTCTGAAGATATCGTCCCCAACAGGGATGGTCTCTGATAGCCTGTCCTCCATTGATCGATGTCCTCTCGAAGTTTTATTGGGGATGGGTCCCGCGAATTTGTGAGAAAAACATTAGAGTCCTCGTCCTCATCCTCTGTAAGAAGAGTGGTTGATCTTCGAGTAGACGTTGGTCCCTAGACGAAATATCAGCTTAGTCAAAGATGTTTTAAACAGTGATGCTTAACTTACCTGTGTGGACGACACCTCATCATCAGTGGAAAGATAAGCAGTATGTTGCAGTAAAAGCTGGGTTCTCATGGAAGTAGAACCTTGGAAGGTCTTGACGGAAGATGGTTTACTTGGAGAAGAGTATGTCGACTGCTTTGATGGAGATCCAAACAGCTTTAGAGGAGTTGGTGGTGGGCCCATGCTACTAGACATTGACCGGTTTGATCGAGCAGATGAGGTTTCCCCCATAGAAGAGAAACGCTGGTGGTGGCGCTGAGGTGTGTGCGAAGAACTTGAGAGTGCAGGGAAGTGAGGGTTCTTGCGTGGGGTGCTTTGAGAGGTACTCGAAGTGGAAGGAAGGAGATCATCCATTGAGAGGCCGTCAATCTGGTGATTTTTAACCCATTCATTGACCTTGTTGAGATGAAACACGAGTTGCGAGAGGTCGGAGGGTTGGATAGGCGAGTCAATGTATTCTTCACTCGACTCGGGAAGTTGAGTCCTTGCGGCAATGGGGGAAATAGGCTGGTCGCTATGATACCCTTGCTTGGTAGGAGAGAATGTCATATTGAATTGCCTCCTTTGGGCTGTATATGAGCCTTCTTCGTCCGTGTTTAGGTGCTCAATAGAACGACCCAAACGCTCGCTACCGCCAGACTCAGGAGGTGTCTGATCAAGTTTCGGTCTCCTCTTCGGTTGAGTAATTTGTGAAGCAGATTCTCGGGGAGCCGAGTTGCTTGGTGAGTGGGATATCGATAGAATTGGTAGGGGTGAAGTAGCTATCGGTGATGACGCTCTTTTTCGCTTTTTA